AAAAAAAAAAAAAAAAAAAAAAAAAGAACGATTAAAGCCAACTTAGGAGAGCATCAATATTATTCAAATACAAGTGGCAGAAGACTTAGCCGAGGAAGGAAGGAGATAATACATCTCTTGCCAGAAGCTGACAGCTGATTGGCTGGAGAGAAAATAAGTTTCTCTGAGATTTCAGACTTGGAGGACTAAGAAGAGGCTATTGTCATTAAGTAGAACTTTTTTAAAAATGGAAAGGTGAAATGGCTCAAAAGACAATGACCAGGTTTTCCGATATAAGGTCAGAGTTGCAGAATCATTGGGTTAAGGATCATGCTATCTAACTTTCCATTCTATATGAAAGGAGATAGAAGTCCATAATTTAGGGGACTGGTGCAAGGCTATCCAAGTAAAGGCAATAAGAAAACTGGTGTTTAGCTGATTTGCAATGAAGGTAGGCTAACAGAGCCATGAGGACCAGGACTGGACAACAGACCCAAGGATCACCCAGAAGAGGCTGGCTGAAGACAGAGGAACAGGTGGGCTCTCAGGGTGAAAAGCACAGAGGGAGGAAGGTAGATAGCCATGGCCTAGGTCAATAATAACACCGTTGATGCTACCTGGGGACTTAGCATGCATCAGACACTGTTCAAAGGTTGTTTGCATGGCACATATAATGCTCCAAAGACTTTAAGGGTAGCTGTCTCTAGTATCCTCTTACAGAAGAAGCACTTGGGCAGAGAGGAGAAGAACAGTTTGCCTGAGGCCACTCAGCCAGTGAGCAGCAGAGGCAGATTCAACCCCCAGCAAGCTCGCACCATACAGCCTCTCAGTCTGGGGTCAGGGGAAGAAACAGAACAGGTGAAACAATCCAAGAAGGATCATTCAAAAGCAGAGTGAGAGATGCTAGGTGACAGGAGGTAAAGGAAGACAGGGTGAGGGGAGGGGAGAATGGTGAGCCTCGTCTACCCTGGCCACTACCAGGTCCCAGTGTCTGCCTGCTGCCTCAGTGGCCCCATTCCTATTATTTGGTGAGGTTCATCCAAGGAATTGCCTTTCTGAGCTATTAGGCCTGGTTGGAAGCATTTCCATCCCAAGAGTACTAAATCTGTGGCCTTTCCTGGTATTCTCCATCTGGCACACATTTAGCAAGTCTATAAGGGTGGGTGGGAGAGGTCATCTGAAAAGGCACATGGCCCTTGTGGCTTTACTGGGTGCTCCTGTGGAGAGTCAGCTCCTTTAATCCATCTTAATAGCTTCAAAGTGTTTGACATTAGGACAATTTTTAAAAGCAGTGATTCCCAACTTCCTTGTATGTGGCATAGATTGATAAAAATCTTTTGAGGTTATTCCAGTCCTTTTGGGTGTTCCAAGAAGGCATACATTTTCCACCATTAAAAGGAGATAAAGGTTTACTTTTTCATTGCTATTACATTGGATTATATACATTTGCTATTTCTGTCTTTCTATAAAAATAAAATTTCTGTCAATCTAAGCCTCTTTATGAACTTAACAGGGTTGGATAAACTAAGACACTGTATAATTTACACAGTATAAATGTTGCAAAATTGTCTTGACATACTCAGAAATTGAAGAAGAAATAGAATGAGAATTTTAAACTTAGATAGGAAGCTGTGGATGATTTTATCAAGCTTCACTTTTCACATTAGGAAACTGAGGCCCAGGAAAGGAAGGTGACTTACCCTGTTTCCTTTGGAGGCAGTGACCAAGGTGGACCTAGAATTCAGATTTTTGGTCCTAATCTAATATATTCCCAATTGTCTCTAAAATTACAATACCAGCTTCAGTTAAGCAAATATCAAGCATTGTGCATTGCTAGAATTAATATCTATAACCATTTCATTTTCTTTTAGTGAGTACAGTAAACCTTAAAACTTTAAGCAAATATAACTTGAAAATTATGATTTTTAAGCTTTGTAATGTGTGATGATTTGCATAATTGCAAGATAGTCTTGTATAGCTCAGAATGAATGTTGTTTTTATTGTTTCATTATTGTTGCAAATTCCTGGTATCTCTGACCATTTCTTTTACATGAGCTTTAGGTTTCTCTAAACATATTCCTCATTTGGATTAGCAAATTTCCTGGGGTGGGTTGGTGTGGGGAGCTGGGAAGCAGTCTTTCCTCTAATTTTTTTTTTTTTTTTTTTTAGTACAGGGATCAAACTCAGGACCTGTGCTTACAGGCAGGAGCAGTGCCATTGAGCTAAATCTGCAACCCCCTCTAATATTTTATAAAGAAATAATCACTTTAGGCAATCAAAAGCTTTTTTGATATTAACACTGGAATTACCATGGGTAATTTGTAATTTTTTTTTTTTAAATATCATCTGCTAAGGTTTCCTTTTATGAGGAATCCACTTTGATCAGGGGCAGATGTCTTCCTCCAGGTGACTGCAGTCTCTATGTCAAAGTGCACAACTTCACATCTCGGTCTAAGTGTGACACAGGGGACTAAGGTCCCATTCCTGTTGATGACCAGAAGTTTGTGACAGGCTATGGTCCTGGAGTTAGGGGTCTTTCAGTCTATGAAACTCGTGAGCTAGGCAACCCTTGTTAAAAATTCTCAGGATTTTTCCTAAAGTAAATACTATGGTAAATCCATTTACCACACTCTTCCATCTTAAACTATTTTCCCTGCAGTACTGGGGAATGAACCTAGGACCTTGTGCATGACAGGGAATGCCTTACCATGAGCTACATCCCAGCCATTCTTACTCTATTTCCTGACAGGGTCTTGCTAAGTTTCCCAGGCTGGCCTCCAATTTGTGATCCTCCTGCCTCAGCCTCCTGAGTAGCAGGGATTGAAGGTGTGTGCCACTATGACTGGCTTTACTTAAAATATTTTTAAGTATTCTTTTTTCTCTCTCATGGTAGCATCATTGAAAAACTGTGTGAAGTTCTGTTTGCAGGGATTTATTTTGTTGACCGCTGCCTTTTAAAACTCTCTCCTATTACTCCTCAGACAGTGAAATCTCAAGGTTCTCTCCCTGCCCAAAACCTTCTCCTCTCCTTCTCCACTCCTTTGCTTCTTCTGGCTAAGCATAGGTACACTGGGGGCCCAGCCCTGGCTTGTGGTGACTGAGCTGGCTCAGGCTGGCTTCACCCCTGAGGTTTAAAGATTTGCAATGTGCCATGACTCAGGTTTTGCTCTCCGCTTCCTTACAAGGTCCTGGCAGCCCGAAGGGGTTGGGAGGCATCAGGCACCAGCTGGAGGCGGGATGAAGGGTTCTTCCTTAGAAAAGCGATCATGGTCAAGAAAAAGTTGAATCACATCCCCTGTGAAAGGTTTGTCACAGTTCTAACTCGAGGCTCCTGACAGCATGACTTCACATGGAAATAGTCTCTGCAGATGTGATCAAGATGTCACCCTGGAGCACAGTGGGTCCTGAGCTGAGGTGACTGGTGTCCTTATAGTGAGAACAGACAGACTGCATAGGAACAGGGTTACCATGCGAAGACAGAGCCAGACCGCACGCAAGGACAGGAGGGGACTGGAGCCAGAAGATTCCGACAACACGAGGACCAAGAAGAAGGCCTGGGACAGATTCCCTCAGAGCCTCAGACAGAACCAGTCCTGCTGACGCCTTCACTTCCACCTCCCGTCAAACACACCAGGGTGGCTGGACTCTGGGACTCTGCCTCTGGCTTCCTGTGGGACACCCTCAAGACTAATTCTTAGCAGCCTCTCCCGAGAAACCAGGTCCTGTTCTTCGTCCCTCAGCCCTGTCCAGCCCTGTTGAGATCGGAGCCGGCCTGCTAAACACTAACCTCTTAGCTCTGCTTCTGCAGACGCTTGTCACTGTGCAGGTGACTGCTCAGTTGCCCCTGGGCAGCTTCCCCCTCAGGTGAGGCTCCCTGTTGGGTGTCCTGCCCCTGCTCCTCCCATTCCCTACCAAGTCCTGCTAGGAGTCAGCATCCGAATTAGGGCAGTTGGTGCGGGAGCTCAGCTTTGCTGCCCGCTGGAGCAAGGGTGGAGACCAAACTAAAGACAATCAGATGGGCACCACCACACGGAGGAAGATGTTGGTAACCTCACTGCACAGCACAGTGCTCTTCTCCTTCTAGATGTGGCACACAGAGTGTGACTGCTGTCCTGAGTCCACGGCTGATCCAGCGCCGAGGCTCCGCCCTGACTGCAGGGACCACTCAGTCTGCCCTTGGGGACCTGTTCTGCCAGAGGGTGCACCCGAGGTAGACACAGCACTCCCTGAGCAGACAGGAAGCGGGAGGCAACCATGACCCGCGTGTGGCTGTCTGCACGGCACCTCACCTTCGCCTTGCAGGACTGGATGGACACGGAGCCCACCCTGGCTCACCTGCACTGCCCGGTGACCCGGCTGCACTCCATGGAAATATCGGTACCCTTCTGGGAGCAGTCGCAGCTGTCACAGCCAGCCCTGGGGTGAAAGCTGTGGAAGTGCATCTCACAGTCCTCACACTGGGGCTGGACGGTGTTGGGAGGGCACAGGCACTGGCCCGTTGTCTCGTCACAGAGGCGCTTGCCACAGTTGCACTCTGACGGGGGGACCAAGAGAAACCGAGCGAGCATTAGAGCTGCCTGACAGTTGGCCGAACTGCACCAACTGCCAAGATTTCCATGAGCTTCCAAGGGCTCTCCCATCACCGTGGACATTTTGACTACATGGTCGATCTGACAACCTCAATTCTTGGGGCCAAGACCACACATACCAAATCTCCTGGCAGATCTAGTGCACAGACCCTGGCTCCAAGCTAGATACCCCGGGAACCCACCAAGCTGCTGTCTGTTTCACTCTAGTGTGGAAGGTTCAAGGAGGTTCTGGAAGGAAGCCTGGAGGGGCCGCTTACAGGATCCCAGGGCCCTGCAGGTCCACAGCCCCGGGTCAGTAGTGACATCATCCTACCGTCTGGGCAAAGGCTGCACACCTGTGCTTCTCACTGCCACCCTATGAAAATGGGCTGGCACCACACCTAGGGCCACAGGACGGTCTTGGGTGAAAGTGCAAGAGTTTCCCGTCCTGAGACCCTGGCTCTCCCATCTCATTGGAATTTTGGTTGGGTACAAAAGGAGCTTCTGCCAGGAAGGAGACTGAACTATCCAAGACTCTACACTGAAGACTTCATTCATCTGTTTTGCAGATTCATCTTCGCCAGACTCCCTACTTACAATAGGGTCTGTTGACCAGGAGCAGGGCTGTCGGCTGGGCCCCACCCAGGACCCCAGAATCAATGTCTGCACTTCTCTCTAGCACGGTGGAGTCTGGAAGCCCCCGAGGCCCGGGAAGGCTCACTTACGTCTGCATCGTGGGAATCCGTAGTAGCCTGAGGCACAGCGGGTACACTGCCGCCCGATGACATTGGGCCGGCACTGGCACTGCCCACCCATGGTGTTGCAGTGGTTGCTAACGGACCCAGCAGGATGGCAGTCACAAGGCAGGGAGCCGTTGTGGTAAAAGGCCACCAGCGACCTGGCGGAATTCCTGCAGAACCTAGAGGCTGTCTCGGGGCTGTGGAGACAAAAGCATCTCGCAATGCCCTGGGATGTGTGATGCCCCAAGTGCCCCCACCCTCCCTCTCCCACTTGCTCCACCAAGCAGGGGATCTGAGCCCTGGAGTCTGGGGAGAAAGGGGACTCAGTTGGTGACAGTCACTCTTTCCCCTGGCCATCCAATCTAGGAGAAGCTATCACAGGGATGGTCAGCCGGAACATTGGGTAGCTGGAGTCAAAGGAGCAAAATACCCCATGGGTTGAAGTAGATGGCATGTGAACTGTATCTCAGTATGTAGTTACTTGAAAATGATGAAAAGAGGATCAGGAGTTTTTGTTTTTGTCTTTATAGTACCGGCCTTCACACTGAAATATATCCCCTTAATATTTTGAGACAGGATCTTACTAAGTGGCTAAGTTGCCCAGGCTGGGCTTGAACTCGTGATCCTCCTGCCTCAGCCTCCCAATGCTGGATTATAGACACGTGCCTGGCTTCACCAGCACCTACTCAATGCTGTGCACTGGGAGCTTTAGCTGCATCTCACTTAACCACACAGCCACCCTGCCATTAGGCCTAAGCCCCACTTCACAGATACAGTGACTGAGGCTCGCAAAGTTATGTACATTCCCAAGGCTGAGAGCATGGCATGGCCGAGTAATCAGGTAAATGCATAGCTGCATGGCCTCATAGCTGCAACAGCCTTTGCTGTCAGTATCGCCATCTCCGGGGCTCTGGGGTCCTGGGAATCTACAGGGACACAGAAGGGCTCATTCTCGGGCTTCTGGCTCTAGCAGGGAGGAAGGTGAGAAGGCACAGGTCTGGGCTCACCCTACTCGGATGCAGGCAGAGGGGAGTGGGGCCTGGAACACCCTGTGTGGCATCTGTTAGGAGTCAGCCGGGGCAAACAGGAAGCAGCAAAAGGAAGACAAGACACACCCCGAGTAGCTCAGGGGGTGAACCTCCGCTGAGTTCAACGTTGAGGCTGGTCCCCTCACCCAGAGGGCACCACCTTCCTTGGACCCCAGACTCAGGGCTGCTTCCTCGGGTGGTGAGAGGAGGGGTTAGATCCAAGGCCACCCTCTCCCTCTCTGGCTGGGAATGTGGGTGTCCCCCAGTGCTTCCCCATAAAGTGATACTTACTTGAGATAAAAGCTGTTTTCCCCACAACTGGTGATAAACTCAGCGGACTGGTCCAAGAATGTTTTGTACTGTGTGACTTGGGAGTTGTAATTCTCCGCAGGCACCAGGAGAACTCGGATCTAAGAGAAAACCATCAACGTGTGTATTTGGATTTGCAACAAGATTAGTGTCCTTTATCGTTAAGTCCAAAGCCAGATAAAATGGTACATGTCAAAAAATGAATCACAGGAGCAAACTAGCGGCGGGGTGAAAGGCTCCATTCCCATTGCTAGGAAACAATGAGCTTGAACAGAGCCCTCCAAGCACCTGCACAGAGCAACCGCAGCCACACATGCTGCCCAGGGTCGGGGAGCAGGGGCTATGAGGAGGATCAGGGCCCAAGCAACCCAGGTCTCTCCGGGTCTCCAGGGATGGCTGCTCTGTACTGTTGAAGGTAAGGAAACAGAAGTGGCAGAACTAAAGTGGAACCTGAGACCAGGCTGCCGCAGAAGTGTGCTTGGTGCTCAAGAATGAGCAATTGCAGCCCCAGTCTTGAAAAGTACTACTCAGCCCTCCATCCCTGTACAGATCAGACCACGCCTCTGACAATGCGGCAGGAGATTTCAAATGTCCCAATGACTCAGTCAGTGCTGTGCCTGAGGGCTTGGTATCCTCGGGAGAGAGGAGGAGGCAAGAGCAGAGCACGGGAGGGAGACCACAGGGTGGGGCCCGGGAGAGGTTTCCGGGTCCTCAGGAAGGATAAGGCCATTCCCACAGGGCAGAGCAGAATCAACAGGCACAGGTGATGGTATCCAAAGAGGAGCGACACAGAGGGCTAAGCACGGAGCCTGAGGCAATGACAATACACAGGGATGAGGCAGAGAGCCACAGCGGCAGCGGGGGACACAGTGGTAGAGTGGAGGGAAAGCACCCATAAAAGCCAAAAAGAGAAAGGAGCGGAAAACGCTGTGGAGAGAGGTAGCCAGACGAGGAGCCCACACGGCCTGGTGGCCAGCTGAGGTCTTGCGCTCCATCATTCCCATCTCCCTCAATTTTGCTCATCTCCTGCTTTTTGTCTGCTGGAGTAAAAGCTGCCAAACGCAACCACTGTCTCATAAATATGACTTCAACTCCTTGGAGAAATGACTGCACGAGTGGACAGACACACAGACCAGCCAGCCAAGGCAGCCATGGGGGAAGCAAGCGAGGGACAGGCAGAACGCACCAGCACCAAGGACTTGTCTTTCGGAACTGACACGGTCACGGTCACATCCATCTTGGACTTCGGGTTGTCAGATTCAACCTGGCCTTGGGTGATCACTTCTTCCTGGCAGCCAAGCACATGGGGGCAAAAAGAGGCTTGGAAGGAACCTGGGTAGGGAGAGAAGAGCTCCTGTCACATGACTGCAAGGATGACCCTCGGTATGCGTGTCGCGCCTGCTGGCGGCCCCTCACCTGTCCACCGTTTCCTTCCATCCACAGACACTCGCACCGGAAATGACGGGTGTGCTGCTTGGTAAAAGTGGGCAATGAAGACATATCGGCCCTGCTGTGGTATGACTCCTTTCAGCATCACTTGGTGCTAAAAGGGAAAGAAAGGGAGAAGAGAAACAAGGGTCCTCCAACTAATGAGCTATGAATGCTGTAATTAAGTAGAAGTTGTTAGATTTAAGTATGGTCTGTACTCATCAAAACCCACGGTGTTGGGAGGGGTTCAGATTTCTGGGACAGAGCTCTCGGGTGGAGAAGCATGCCACCCCACAGACGTGAGTTCTTGCTCTCATGGGCTGGGATTAGTTACTATGAGAGTGAGCTGTCACAGAGCCACAGGCCCCTCAGTCCCCTTTTCTCCCACAGGTGCTCACCTCTGTCACACCTGCTCCTGCCACATGGGGCCTGCTGCCTCACTGCGGCATGACACGAGGCCCGCATCACTGGGACTACCCAGCCTTGAACCTGTGGCCCCCAGAATCCTGAGCCAAATCAACCTCTCTTCACAGATCACCCTGTTGGGGTGCTCTGCTATAGTAACAGAAAATCAACTAAGCCAGAGCTTAAAGACCAGAACAACCTAGGTGCTCACCCAAGTGAGATGACAACCTCTATTCATCCCCACAGGAGACTTCCTGTGAATGCCTGAGCAGCTTTTAATGTGTAATACAAAACCTGGAAACAAACCAGATATCTCTCATCTACACAATGGACAAACTGTGGTACAACCATACATTTTGTTGGAAGGGGGTGCCATTAGGTAAATCATACTGGAAAATTCTTTGGCAGTATTTACTGACATTAACCACATAACCCAGCAGCTGTGCACCTGGGTTTGTACCCAGTAGAAATGCATAACAGGCCTGCCAAATGGCTGGATGAGAATGATCAAGCAGGGCCACTCCTGCACCAACAGAAGACCCGGTCTGACTCCATTTTGGGTGTTTGACCACTGACGGCTTTCACGCTCCACTACTTCCTCATGCCTTTTAGCTCAGGCCTGGATAAGCTGGGAAGTTCAAGGTCAAGTGGCCCCGTCTGGTGACAGTGCTGTGCTATCATCCCTCTCTTGGCTTAGGTGAAGTCCAAATCACACAAATTCCGGCCCATGGGAGAGGCAGGCAGCCTCACCCTGAACTGCGTGTGGGCTCACAACATTCACCACAGTAAAATCAGTCAGAACGCTCCTCCTCTTGCCAACATGTGAATGTGAACCCTGCTCTACCCGAAAGCTTTAGCTGTGTGTGTGTGTGTGTGTGTGTATGTGTGTGTGTGTGTGATAATTCCTAAATCCTCCAAAAGCTACAGCAGCAGCACCACAACAAGAGGTCATTCTCATCTTCAGAGAGAGGTACCAGGCAGGGGGGTAACTAAGTCACTGGAGATCAAGCTGATTAAATAATAGAGCGAGGATGGAAACTCCGATGCTTTCAACCCTCTTTCCCCTATTACAAAGCTACATTTCTCCTGTGGGATCTTATTCAAATGCAGCTCTCAGGTTCTGTTAATTTCCAAACCTCTGCTCTGTGACCTGATGCAGCCATCTTTGGGATGATGGGACATAGGAAAATCAGGATGTAAGTACATTTCCATAGTCTGGAATTTTAAGCAACCTATAATTTTACAGTTTATGGTAAAAAAAAAAGTTAATGACCTGGTTCTATTTTACCTCTGGGCTCTTGGTGATTAATAAGTGTTTATCAACAATTTCCTACATGCACGGTGCTCTGCTGGTGTGGTGGGGACACATTAAAGTTTACAAGGCACAGCAGCCATTCTAACAGCCCTAACAACCCAACCTGGGAAGAGAACTAATAAACTCAACAATGCCTAACAGCAACAGCCCATGAAAATAAGATAAATCACAACACAGGCAAATCAGAATATAGGCCACGCAGAAGTTCCAAAGCACCACATGACAGAGACCAGGAGAAAAAGGCGCATCACACTGGCTGGTCATACTCAGTTTTAACTAGTCACTTACATTTCTGGGATTCTCCAGAATCAAGAGTAGAAATCCTCAGTACCCATCCTTAGGGTTATTGAATCATGGGTTTGTTAAAATGCAGACTGCTGGGCCCCGCCCCAGAGCTTCTGATACAGGAGGTGTGGGGCAGGGCCCACACAGGTGCATTTAGAACAAGATCCCAGGTTCCTGAATGCAGCTGGCTGGGGCCGCACTTCGAGAATCCCCCGGTCTAAACACAGCCCGCCTAGGGGAGTCCTACCTGCGGTGCCTGCAAGGTGAGTCCAAGAACAGCTTCATCTACAGAAGGAAAGAGATGCCCCTTGGGGACATTCAGAATTAAGGCTCTTGGAGGAGTCTTGTGGGTCTGGGAGATACAGGTGAGGCTGAAAAATACAATATTTAAAAATCAATTTCACCATAGCCAAAGCCTGTGGAACTGTCTGGCAGAGGAGACATAGACCTTGAACACTGAACATAGGGTCCAGGGAAGGGTTCCCATGCTGGGGGAACTACACGACTCTGCACAGCTTTCTCTTTTGTTATCTTTTACATTTGTTGGTTGGTGTGTGTGGTGCTGGACGCAAGTGCTTTGCTGCTGACCATACTGCCAGCCCACTGGAGAGCTTTATGTAGTAAATCTCAGGGTAGTCTATTTGCCAAGAATATTCCAGTTGCCCACTCAATACAACTAGTTCTAAAAGAAAGAAAATCTGAATTTTGTTTTGTTGGTAGTGGGGATTGAACCCAGTATCTCACATATGCTAAGCAAGTGCTCTACCACTGAGCTACCTCCCAAGCCCCAAGAAAAAAATCTTAATTTTTAAGTACAAAAAACTAGATAGGACCTTACTGAAACTTCCCTTGCCCAAACTAAAATTAAAATGAGAAAAGTGTGCTAAAACACTATTCATCTCTATATCAACACTGACATAATGACAGGAGAAACAAGCACACATCACTTCTTTTAGGCACAGTCAGAGGTGCATTGTCTTGGAGGTTCCCACACTCAGGAAATTTCATGACCATGTCTGTAAATTACTTTTGACTCTACAAAACGCAACCCTACTAAAACCCCAATAGGCATTAGTTAGATAATTCTAATCACATAGTTGTGAGACAGGTCCTTTTATTTATTTATTTTTTTTTTTTGGTGGCTTTCCAAGGAAAGAGTCTCAGACACAGAGATTAAAGAACTGAAACAAAATGAGGGCCCAGAATAGAATCCAGGACCCTGCCCTTGGGAGCCAGGCTTACCGACTTCCCTGGTGGTCACTTGGTCTGTGCTATGGAATCCTAGAAACACTGGCTGCAGGGGAAAATTATTTAGCTGGTTTATCTTTTTTAACTTCTATCACTAGACTTGAACACCTTGGCTTATGATCACTTCGTAAAGTAAGTACAGATGGGGCTCCCTAATTCGAAATCCCAAATCTGAAAGGCTCCAAAACCTGAAACTTTTTGAGCACTGGACATTTTTCCACAAGCAAAAAATTCCACGCACATGCAATAGGTTACAGGTACACTAAAAACGCTGGGTAAAAGTACCTGCAGGCCATGTGTATAAAGTACATATGAAACAAAAACGAATTTAATTTTTAGGGTCAGGTTTTACCTCTCAGGTATCTCATTACACACATACAAATATCCCCAAATCCAAACAAAGGGTGAAATTTGAAATATATCTGGCCCCAAACAGTTTGGATAAGTGATATTCAATGCGTATGAAATGTCAGCCTTATAACCATCACAGCATCATTCAGAACATCAGCAGAAGGGAAGGACACGCATTACCCTTGACTAACAAGCGGCCTGTAGGTGGCGATGCAGCGGAGTCTAGGCCTCAGATATTCAGCTGAGAACTCTTCAATGGGAATGACGCAAATCTGATGCTGTTGAACACATTAACACAAAAAGGCACGTTGCAGTCATCAGCCAGACCAACGGTATGGTCAAACATGTTCTTTTTCAGAAAGCTGCTAAGTAAAGAATTCATCCAAAAAATTAGAGGCATTGTGTAGGAAGGCAAGTCCTTGGGCAACAAATCTTTCTCACCCTTACCTGGGATCACACTCTAGACTGCTGTGGGAATAGATTTTTAAACACAGCAACATCATATGAAAGTTAACAACTCTTTTCAGTGACTTGGGGGGACTGGCTTTTCTCTTCTGTCTGGGGCCATGCTAGCTCTGAGGCCCAAGGGCAGGAAAAGAAGGGGTGGGGTGGCAGTGGAGAGCCTGCCACCCCGCTGCTCCCGGGACATCGATCCTTCTCAACAAAGGTGGCCTTAGGTCTCAGGCACCTGCAGGCCCTGGTGAAGCCTCCGTGACCAAAGCTAGTTTTTGAGTCACATAGGAATTCAGTCCTTAATTTATCGTTATATTTCATCTGAACTCACAACTGTATGTGACCAGCTTCATTCCAAGTCTGTTCAGTAACGACTAAATTTTATTGAACTTCACTGGGACGTGGGGTTCGGTGGGGCCAAAGATGGACCATACCTCTGCCCCCTGTGCAGAGTCTCTTTTAGCCAACCCTGCTCCCAAATGATGCTGGACTACTCATTCATTTACTTACTTTAGCTTTTTTGAGACAGGGTCTCACTATGTAGTTCAGGCTGGCCTTGAACTCACTATGTGGCCTTCAACTCACAAGGATCTTCCTGCCTCAGCTTCCTCTGTTGAGCTATCTTTGAAAAGGACAAATCTAAGCCTAAAAGATGGGAGACTCAGCACCAAGATAATTTCCAAAGATAAAGAGGTCACACTTACTTGGACTGTTTTGTTTTTAAAATGCCTTATTTATAATAATTTTTAAGAACTGAATTCCAGCTACTCCTTAAGCTCCAAGTTTTTAATGCTGGTGGGCAGAAACAACTAAAGCACATTCATTCTTACAGGCTGGCCTGGCATTTCCCAAGGTGTGATACATGCGTAATATTATTAGTCACAGGAAGCTGCTTTACGGTAAGATAATCTTGCATTTCCAGAGATGTTTATTACACATCTGGCCACCCCTTCCTATGCAAACCCCACTATCTCCGTTTGTTGTAATTCAAGGTTCGAGTTGTACCACTACAGCAGTGGACAAGAAGGTTGTTTAATCTGCCTCAGTTGTATTTTAACTCTTAATATAGCCAATTAGCTGAATGATTCTCTTTTAGAAATAGTTATTTTTAAAACACTTGGCTGATTATGAACTTTATAGTTTGGATGGAATTTGCTAAGAAGCAAAAGAAAACACAAGGAGATAATAAAATGGGAAAGGCAATAAGCAATAACTAATGGCATTTCTGTTATTTGGCAATCACTTAGCAGGAACTATAATGACAAAGGACATTTCATTCACAAATAAAAATCAGTGTGAGATGAGATCTTGTGAGACATGTTCACATTTCATGATGAGACTTTCTATTAGGCGACACAAAAAAAGACTCAAATAGATGGAGAGACAGCGAAGCCCTAGCTGGGAAGGGATAAGCATGGAACTGGCAGCCCTTCACTGTAGTACTTTATAGATGTCGCGCAATCCCAGCAGAAACGGCACTAAGCTTTTTAGAAACACAGACATCAACACAGGGCCCTCCAATGCAAAGCAGAAACATACCAGAAGGAGCCGGGCTCCGTGAAGGCTGAGCTGAATGTCTGTGTCTCCTGACAGCTCATGCGCAGCGAGGCGTCTGTGGTCATCAATCACGGCGCTGCGGCAGAGGATGCTGAGAAAGGAAACAGATTTTCCTCAGCCGAACCCCGCAGTCCCTCTCACTTGTGCGGCAGCTGGCTGCTCTTGGTTTTCCTGCTGATAACTACACGAACTAGAATGAGTTTTCTCGCAGGAGAAATTGAAGAGGGGTGCAGCCTGCTTTGATTTGAATGTCCTTCCCAAGATCCTTTTTTTGCTGTTGTTAGTTTTGTTTTGTTTTGAGACAGAGTCTCACTATGTATTCCAGTCTGGCCTTGAACTCACTATGGTATTTTTCCTTTTTTTAATTTTTTGGTACCGGGAATTGAACTCAGGACCTCCTGCTTGCCAGACAGGTGCTACACCACTGAGCTACATCCCCAGCCTCTGAACTCACTATGCAGCCCAGGCTGAGTTCAAACTTGTAATCCTCCTGCCGCAGCCTCCCCAGTGCTGGGATTACAGGCTGAGCCAAAACTCATTGTGAAATGTAATTGCCACAGTGACCTTTAAGGGGTGACTAGCCCTCACGAAGGGATTCGCCTCACTATTATGGGAGTGGGTTAGTTATCACAGGAGTGGCTTTATTATAAAAGCAGTCTCCCTTGGGCATGAGGGCTCTTGCCAGAAGCCAGCAACATGCTCTCAAACGTCTCAGTCTCCAGAAGCATAAAAAAAGGGAAAAAAATTATTTGGAGGTGTTGTGGATGGAACCAAGTTCTTGCACACAGGCAGGTAAGGGCTGTACCCCAGCCCAATAACCTTCTTCTCCATATAAAACTCTCCAGTCTATGACATTTTGTTCCAGCAGCGTGGACTAAGAACTGTTCACGCTATCTACGGGGGAAAGAACCCTGCAATTGTAGCCACTGCCAAAGGCTACTAAGCTTTTCCACCCAGCTTAACAGAAAACAGAACTTGGTTCAGTCACTGGGGGCAAAGCCTGGGCAGGGAGAGCAGATCTTGCACACAGAGCCTGCTTGGAAATTTCCCGATATGCTCAGGACCGTTTACAATGAAAGTTGCCCACCAGAGCCCACCGCATGCCCAGTCAGTGAGCATGGCTGGCCTTACTCAATATAAGGAAACTCAGCTGTTCCTCTCCTCCTTCCTCCTCATTTCTCACATTGGTTTCCTTTCCTGGCACCCCATCAAGTGAGCTGCAGAGTTCAGGAACATTTAAAAGCTCACTCTTAGGCACCAAAGCACACAACTCTAATAGCAAAACCCATAGAGGAAGTATTTTTCAGAATTGTTTCTGATTCCACACTCCGTAGCTACTTTCTGCCTGTAAATATAATACAGAACTAGCGAGTATTAAAACAAAATGATCATCTCTGCTTCAGTGGTAATGCACCCCACCCTGTAATTCCAGAATTCTGGGAGGCTGAGGCAGGAAGATTGCAAGTTTAAGCCTACTCTGGACAACTTAGAAATTTAGTAAGTACCTGTCTCAGTCTCTAGTTCTGTACCTCTGAATTAAATAAATGAGTAAATAACTAAGTCCATGCATGCATACATACATACATATATACATACACATAAAAATAATAATACAGTCAATGACTCTTTTGGTGAGAATTAAAATAAGATAAACTATACAAAGAGCCAAGCAGAGTTTGTGAATGCATAGGAACTGAATGGTCCCTCCCTTTGCTCTGTGTGTGTGTGTGTGTGTGTGTGTGTGTGTGTGTGAATTAAACCACATGACCTTTAGATGCAGGTGTAACCCTGGGAGTTGAGTATATTAAGTGATTCGCTTAAATTTAGTTTTAGCCTTAACCTTTATTAAATTCTCACTAAGAAATAGACTATGGTAATAACAGGATTGATCTACTCATTAATGATCACCTGTCTGTGGACAGCAGACTTCATTCATCACAGCACTCTTTTGAAAAATGCTCCTCTCGTCAGCCCCACTGCTAATCTGCTAGGATATTGTCCTTTGAATAACAGGATCGATTTCACTTGAGAAATGCTGGAGAAAGTTCAAACCTCCCCAGGAGATACTGCATGTTGAACAGGCCTGACGTGTGAAGTATGTTTTTCCGGCTCACATATTCCCAATAGCACCATATTTCGGGATCTCATTCTTGTGGACTGTCCACTTTTACTTGTCCACAGGACAGGTGAGACAGAGAAAAAGGGAAATATTTCAGCCAAGTGAAAAAAAGAAAAAACACAGCAGGACCTTCTCGGAAGCAGTTAAACACCAAGCAACAGGTCCCAGGAGAGCACTGTCCTGGAGTCCTCATGACAGAGACTTGGAAAACGAACTTGGGTGCTGCCATGAGCAGAGCCCAAGATCGGCACGGTGTCTGCAGGACACCCCTCCCTCCGTCCATCCAGACAAAGGTTACTGAAACAGCCCTCGTGGAACCCCGCAAGGATGACTTCGAGACCCCTGTCAGCAAGGGGAGTCTCAGAGATCTTCTGAGCCGATTCAGACTCATCGGGGTCACTGTGACTATTTCCTGTTGTTCCCTTAGCCACCTCTACTTGGATTCTGTGAATCAGGATCCGAAGATGGATAGGGTGGGACCGAACTGGCTTAGGTGGACGGGTGTGGAGAAGCCCTGCCCAAGCCCTGTGGCTCATGGTCTCCAGGGGGAGATGGTGACTGCTCGCCTGGCAGGGCACATTCCAGGGGTGCTGATGCCACCTAGGATACATCTGGCATTTGCAAATAATGACAAAACATTCTAGGGGAATTATTTTAGGCCCATTTCCTGCTAAAAATCCAAATGCAGATCTGGGGATGTAGCTCAGTGGTAGAGTGCTTGCCCTTGCTCTTGCAAGGCCCTGGGTTCGATCCACGGCACCACACGCACACATACACATCACATTTTTAAATTCTTTTTCCTCAACCCAGAGATAAAGCCGTCACAGCTGCACTTTTAGGGTTGCTGAGAGCATGATGTTAATTCAGTAGGCATTTTATCAGGTCCAATCAAAGTTTCCCTTCTAGCCCACTGGTAGTTACTCTTTACATAAATTCTTCCATTTTCGCATCAGGGAAGATGTCTAACCACTTCAGGCTATCTTGGTTTTTTTGAAAAAGCAACACTAAAGTGGAGGCAATGTGCTGCTCGAGGCTTGAGCTGAGGACTGGACAGGTTTGCTCTCCCTGCTGTTCCAAGGCATGCAGACCTCCACTGCTGATCATTCCGCAATCACATGGAAACACAATGCACTCATCCTTCATTAAAGCATGGCCTTGAAATACTGTGCATTTTTAATAAACCCCTCTCCATGAGTGCTCCCAGAGATGTCACTGGGGTGAATTTTAAAGTCCTTTGTCGATGATTTCTCACCTGGCAGTCATCAGACATAGCTGTCTGCTGTTCTGAAGGTATGTGTGAAGGTTCCTAACGTTGTGGAGAAGCGAGCTGTTCCCTTTGCCAGGCACTTGTGCCCTTGAGGTGAGAACTCTGAGCTCATTCTAGCACCCCGGAGGGACAGAGAATCAAACCACGAAAATGTGCAACTTCGTATGGATCTAAACCATACTACTAGATAAAGCGTGCAGCTCTTTAGGAAGATGCATTATTCTCAAGTTGCTGCCCACAGAGAGGACTCCGCATACCTCCTCTGGGGTTGCCCTTGGATCAGGCCACAGTCCCTGCTTGCTTTCAAGATCTACCTCAAAAGAGAAACCAGGATTCCAATGCAAATAAAAACCAGGCTCCTCAGGTAGTCTGGGGTGGGGCTGATCACCTGTACTTGCAGCTGTATACGTGCGCGTGGCCTGCCAGGGCTGACCGGTTGCCCAAAGTCACATCAACCACAGTCAGTTTGTTGGCGGCGTACTCCAGCAAGATGGCATAGCGGCCGGCCTGTGGGACACGCAGCTGCAGATGCAGTTCCACCTGCGAACAGACAATCACCATGATGCTAAGTGCACCGGATCTACTGACGGACACAGTGATGAAAACAGAGAAGCCACGTCTGCATCGTCCTTTGGGGAGGGAGTCGGGGAGAAAGTGCACGAGGCCCCGGTAGACCTGAAGTCCAGATGAAGAAAGAATAACTGTTTGCTGTTTATCTGAATTTCAAATCTACCTGGCCATCTTGTATTTTTCTCTTCTAATTCTAACAGTTCTGCTTAGAGGGGCTCCTACGCCTACCCAGGAATGTTTCCACCCCATGTTTCTCACAGCCCTGGTGCTCCCAAGCTCGGAGTAGAAGGAATTGCTGATGGAAAGTAAGAGGAGTGCAAACGTGCACCCTTTAACTTATTTTAATTAAAAAGAAAGTTCAAAATGTGAAACCAGGGGAGAGAGTGTGACGCCAGGGAGGCGATGGTATGTGTGTACAAATTCAACTGATACGCGCTACTAAAAAAAGTGGGAAAAAGAAATTTCCAATTATCTGAATGAAAATATACAAGTGACACCTACATACTCTGCTCTGGGATAAGAACTGATGATAGCTTGGTTCTTATACTTTCAAACCTATGGTTGTGTACGCACAATTTTTAAGAGAAACTGTGATTGCAGGAGGCAAGTGAGGATGCTTTTTTGGACTCAGTGACAAAGACCATATGCTCCGCAAAATGGAAATTATTCCCCACCCGGTCTTTGCAGAAAAAATACGCCCTTCACTCTGCCACTTGGTCAGGAGCTGGGGTCTGCGGTCAGACTGCCTCCAGGTGTGTGACCCAGGGTTCACACTTAACACCTGCAGTGTCAGGGGCCTGCTGTGTAAGAGGATGATGACAAGACAGCCCATCTCCACAGACAGTTATGAGGGTCAAATGAATAATACACGTGGGGCTCTAAGAGCTATATGTTGCTGTGTCATAAACACTATAGAAATATTGATAATTGTGATTATTACTTCTGGCCACGAAATTTTTTTACTCACCTATATGTCATGTGTCTCTATCAGTCTGTAGGGATAAGCTTCATTAAAATGGCTGATGCCAACCATTCTATAATATGAATATAGAACTACTTAACTAATATCCTACTCAAAGGCACTGAAAGTTCCTCTCATTTTCCCTGCACTATACAATGTTATGTCACCATTGCTATATCCTTATGCTAGCCTTTCTCTAAGACGCCTGGAAGCAAGTTGTGGTTTAATGGAATGCCTGAGCCAACACCAGAATTACACTCCTCAGCAGCACGACACACCTCAGCCATCTTTACCACACTTGATGAAGATGCTCCTTCTCTGTGCCTTCAGGAGATTCATACTTGCTACTTTCTCAGCAGCTCTGAGCCACACAGCTGCTACTTTCCAGTGATTTTTCTGCCACTGAAATAATAAAAAGACTCTTCCCTCAGGGGAAGAGTGTGGATTTTTCACACCACTTCTGACTGAGTTAGAGTCGGGTACGGCACTGCACCAGCCCATGTGGAGAGGCTGTCACCTGCTTCTGTGCCCTGGGCATCTTGGAGCAGAAGCACATCTGTCCTCACCCTGCCACACAACAGCCATCCCCAGGCCAATGATTCATCAGCGTTTTCCCCAGAAGTTATTACGGACTCCGGCTGTAGCACGGCACTCTTATAAATCTCTCCTGTACTCCTCACTCTTAGTCCTGCGGATTGATGTTTTTGGAAGACTTGTTGGAAATCTAAAATACATTCAATGCTAAAAGCAGTTTTTTTTAGGAACTTAGATAAAAGACACAAAGGTGACAAACAGAAACCTTATGCTTGCTCTTGCCAGTTATCTATTAAAAAGAGAACTTGAATGCAGCCAACATCAGACTGATTTTGTGCCACAGGCTGCCTTCTCCTGATTATCAGTGCTGTAAGATAATGACGGAGAGAGAAGGTTTATGCAAAGCTACATGGGATAACTAACATGCCTGGTGTTAAAATGGGGAGGCCAACGATCTGATCAAGTACCGCATGCCTGCTCTGGCCCAGGTGATGGGTGCATCTCAGGAAACAGGGCCTCCGCCCTCGGTCAAACCCTAGTCAGATAATTCCATAAGAAGACGATTCCAATGTCAAATGACACGTGATAAATGTGCTGAAGAGGCACAATGGAAGCGTGTGAGACAGCGGCCAGGGCTAACCAGGGAGATGTGGGAGAGGGGAAAGCTTCCCTGAAGGAGGAATGAGGTGGGCAAGAGTGGGGGGACAATGAGCAGATGACCGGGGCCCAGGGGAGCAGAGGGAACAGCTGGCAGTAGGAGAGTCACGTGCCATGCCAAAGTGAAGAGACCGAAGGGAGACAGATGCCCAAGGAGCAGCAAGAAGAGGTGGCAGGATACCACAGGGAGGGAGAAAGGCCAGCCTTAACGACAGGCTGAAATTCTGGTCTCTATCCCAAGACAAACGAGACATGACTATAATGTTCTAATTGTGTGTGTGGTGAGGATCAGATATTTCTATCAGGATAAGCTTTCTGGCTAAAGCATGGAGGGTGAAAGGGGAGACACAGCGGGCGCGTGCAGATGTGGGTGAGCTCATTAGGAAGCTACTGCAGAGATCCTTATGAAACGTGACACAGGCCAACTATCCTGCGTCCAAAACGCTTGGGACCGAGGGTGTTTCAGATTTGCATTTTTGGCAGATTGTGCAATATTTACATATACATAATGAGATATATTGGGGATAAGACTCAAGTCTGAACACAAAATTCATTTGTTTCACATACAGGGGGTAAATGAATCTAACAAGCAAAATATTAAAAAGACTTGCTTCATTGAAAGGGAAATCATGACGTTCAAGACCTATTTTACTGCTCTAAGTCTTTGAATTTTAGCATAATAGTCTGTAACAGCGTTGTCCATAGATATTTCTGCAATGATGAAAATATTCTATGATCTGCTCTGCCCCATAGGATGCCTACTAAACATAGCTAATTGTTGAGACCTTGAAGTATGGCTAGCACAACTGAGGAACTGAATTTTTATATACAGTAGATGGAGTCTAATTAAATTTATTATATTTGCAAGGGGCTTGATACTGTACTGAACTTCACAGGCCTGTAGGCATTGAGACAAAATAGAAAAAAATGAATGTGCAAAGAAAATGGATATCCTAGGACACATACAAACATACACACATATGTATATATGTGTATGTGTATTTATACTATATGTACGGATACAGTATGGGTAGGAAGAAATATGGTAAATTTAATTTTAGAATGCAGTAAGGAAGGATCATTTTTTTCTTTTAAAATAATACATTGTTTTACTTGATATTACAAGCATATATCATTTTGTAAAAATAAAATTCTAACGAAAGGAAATGAAAACTATATTTAAGAAATACACTTAATACCTTTAGCTTCAAAATATTAGGATTGCGGCCAACAAAAATGCACACACCCAAATGTTCAGGGGGAATTAAAGTCACTGTATCTTCATTTCACATATTTTTATCCCCCAAGGGAACATTTTTTTCAAAGGTAACAACCCAGAAGATGTTCTAGAATGAAAACAATGACGATAAAGTGGAGGGAGTGTATTTCAGTGTCTCCATTTTGAAGTGTTGTGTGTTCTGGCCGTTACTGTTGATAATCAGCGGTTTGAAGCCAGATCTTGCATCAGGATATTCTTACATTTGGGGTTAGGAGGCTCAGAGAACTGCTGGAAGGTAAACCAGGCCCAGACTCGTGCTCAAACAGCCTCAGGGCCACCAGGTGGCTGCCCTGCACTGTAGCAGTTCCAGGTTCTGAGTTCAGTTCTCACAAACTGCTTAGCCTACAGGGCGGGACGGGCTGGTGAGGAGGGCAATCTTTTAGGGTCAGCCACAGTTTTCGGAGGGCCTTTGAAAAGGCTGAGTCTCAGCTATCTCTTAAGAGAGATCCTGCCCTGCGACAGGTAGAACAGGATGAGTCCAGGAGGCCAAAAGGAAGGATTCTATGGTTGCCCAGCTCCTCTGCTGTATTTGGAACCGCTGGGGAACTACCTTACCTCAGCTCAGTGCAGGATCCCAGCCAGCTCCAACACAAATCAAAGGATTCAGCAGAAACTGATTAACAGCTCTGAGAAATCCTGCCAGCTGCCCCTAAATGTGAGCAATCACCATGGGCAAGCACAGTCAGCAGTCACGGACAGCAAGGGAAGAGGTCTGGCCTGGAAGTAAAGGCTGTGCTCACCTTGTCCCCATTGAGATCCACCATGAGAGGGTGTATCCGGCTGGGCTTCCTCAGGGTCAGGGGTTCCGATTTATTATCCCGCAGGAAGGTACTGGCTTTCTCCGCCAGGGTACAGGAGAATCTGGTCACTGGCAAATGCTGGTAATTCAAGCAACTTCAACAACAACAAAATACAATAGTTACAAGTATTGCAACAGAGAGCGTCCCCAAGGGACTGTCGATCGTCAGTTCATTCACATCCATGGGCCCTCGCTTCTAAGACTCCTCAGTGCCTACCGCAGAAATGGAGCCGTAAATTTTCATCTGCACCAGGAAGGGAAGAAACAAAGACCCATAAACCTGGATCCCATGTTAAGCTCTTCCCCTCCCCAGGTGATCTTGACCCTGAGGGTCTGATGAGGGCATGCAACAGTGTTCCCCGTGTTACCAGCTTAACCACTCCCAAGAGGGTGCAGAACCCAAACGGCTTTGTGATGCAAACTTGAAGAAAAATCACAATTCACAATTATCCAGAGCCTCCTGCCACAATTGCAATTGTGATTTTGAGGGCTACCGTGAATGTTTGCACAAAAGGCTCCTAATTCAGAGGCCCCGCAACACCTTCTGCCCCATACTAACTTTTCCAGGGGAACCCAATGGGAGGCACACGGTTTTGTGATGAGGGGCTGCAGTGCGGATGCTTCATAGTAGTCCCTGGGGAGCAGCACCAGGTAATCCTAGCAAAGGAAGAGCACAGGACAATTACTCACTTTGCTTGCAGCGCTGCCTGGGTGATAAAATCATCAAACATACTGAGTTAATAATAGCCCGGTGAGGTCACTGTAAACCCCCGCCTGTCACCCTGACTCATCGGAAAACACAGCAACTACTCACAGCTCTGCAGGCACTGAAGACAAGCTGCCGAGAGAGAGCATGTGCATTTTTCGGGTCTCAGGGAAAGTTTACTGTCTTTTCTGGCTGGTCTGTGAGTCCTAAAACGGCCAGAGCTGATCGGCTGTGCTTTGATAGGAGGTTCTTGGAGATGCTGTCTGCTCTGACTGCCACAATCACTCGATGCCCCTGCTCTCCTCCCGAGCCCTGCTCACCAGACGTGGTACCAAGGGGCGATTTCGTGGGCCTGTGACTCACAGTGAGCTGGGCCCTGCCTGTCCGGCCAGATGATGGAAGAACACATTCCCCTGAGGGTGCTCCGCGAAGCCCAGTGTAAATTCTGCTCAGCAGCTCTTTAGGAAAGAGCCTTGCTCTGGGCCTTGAGACCTGGACAATCTGACAGCTTTTGCCAACCTCACACATCTGCAGGGGGAAGGTGGAAGGGACCTTTGCTTAACTGGGAAGAGGCTCATGCCTGATCCCTAAGGAATGTTCTCTCAGGGAGAATGTCTGGGGAGGAAAGTACGAAGAGACTAGGTTTTGCTGAGTGAAGACCAGTCTTTTTTTTTTTTTTTTTTTTTT